CTGAAATGGGAAAACATAGACCACGATAGACAAATAAATGTATTGTAGATCTCCACCTTGTCTTGAGACGACACTCTTGGAGAAGTAAGCATCAAATATCCATCAAATAATTGTTTTATTTTAAATTCTGTAGACTAAGAATAAAGATTTAATTCTGCTAGCAAAAATAGCAAACGTATTTCAATCTCCAATATGACCTTGAATAAACTTGACATAAAGAATGTGTTATCTGCAGGAAAACCTACAGAAAATACATTTATCATACATCATGTCAAGTTCACACGATATTAGACATTGACTGAAGGCTATCGACCAATGAGAAGCGAAATAGTAAGTAAACTGAAACTGTACATTAGCCAACCGATTCTCTTGTTGTTCCCATGCAAATCCACAACGAACGTTGTTGACGATTTTGACTTTAGCTCAAAATGAAGTCCTGCATAGGTGCGCCGCCAGGAAAGTTTCTTCGTTGTTGTCGCATGAATTGTGTCCTGAAGGGAGCAAAGCAAGTGTTGGAGTCCCATTCTAAAATCAAGTAGTTTTGGGATTTGATAGAGTTAAAGATCTTTGATCTTTTTGACGTCTTTCAATTTCTTCCTACTGTACATGAATAACTCGTCTGCTCCATTTACAGCCAAAGATTTCCAGGCAAACGTCCCGAAAAGGCTTGTTCGTGCGGCTAAAAAGCGCTGGATTTATGATTCCATTTACAAATAAAAAGAATGTCAAAGCCAGATGAGTACCTCGGTCAAAATAATAAGGTCTAAATGCATCGGCCAGGATAATACTCGTTGTAATGGTACTACAAAATATATACCCATATACTACTCCAAGGAGGGTTCGTGTAGCTTCGATGTCATGGCCATGGTTTTCGAGTTCATTTTCAACTTCGTCGTGTCTTTTGTTGAAAATCTGCACTCTTATTTTTCCTCCTGCTTCTCTCTTGTGTTCTTTTAGATCGTTGAAGGCCTTGAAATGTGACAGAACGTTCAAACATAGAGGGATGATGACACTGAAGATAAACTGTGCTACAACGAGGTCCTGAAAAACACTTTGGTCTTCAAATATGAGCAGACATATCGCTCTTCCGGGATGGAATTCGATCTTGGCGAGACCTGAAGTCGTTAGAATAATGACGACTGTAAGCGCAGTTAGCCACGTGACTGTCACCATGGCTACGGCAAACCATTTTTGAAACAACCAATCATAAGTCGATGGTCGATAAACCCTTGTTAGACGATTCATGCAGATCAAAAGTACTGTAAAAAGTTTTCCAATAATACAAAATGACGATGTAAATCCTGTGAACTTACAGCCGTTGTCAGTAAAGTTTTTCTGTCCATTCAATAAGACATCGATCCATATTGGCATCAAGACTATTCCTCTTACAAGGTCTGATAGCGATAATATCACGAGGAAGAAGTTGGTTAGGGAATAGAGCTTTTTCGTTTTGAGGACCGCATAGCACACTACGAAGTTGCCGCCCACTTCAAGCACGATGAAAACGATTGCTAATGATGTAGAGACGGTTTTACGGTTGGTTTCGCGAATGTAAAGTTCTCTGTTTAGGTACTCTATGTACTGACTTCGATTCATCTTTCTGTTTACTGTTTACATATCTTGACGCAGATTCTAATCTATAGAAGAAAGGGAGAAATACATTAGTAAGACAAGTGTGAATTTGGAGACTGCGTTTTATAAGAGTGTTGAAACTACATCGCAGTAGAAAATATAGATGAAAATTAAGAAGGAGGGGGATGGATGGAAATGGAGATGGCAAATGAGGAGAATAATAAAAAACAAGATAGGGAAACCGAAAAACGGATATAGCAAGACGATGGAAAAGAAAGCAAAAGATGAAAACAAAGAAGGTAGGAAAGACGAAAAAGAAGAAGAAGAAGAAGAAGAAGGAGTAAGAGGAGAAGGAGGAATGAGCAGGAGGACAAACAAGCGCAACCATACCGGGCTGTCTAAATAAACTGCTGTGTCTCGAAAATTGAGGGCATCTTCAGTTCTTCAATTAGCCTTCGAGTTGGCAGTAACTGGCACGGAAGCAGAAATTGGTTCCTTTCTCTTATTACACATGACATACAATCTTGTGAATTTTGGAAACTAATGGTAGGTCTAACAACTGCATGATTACTCGGAACTCCAAGTTAATTATGTCGTTTAAGGTAATATGAATAAATGAATGAATGTATAACAACCCCATTAACTATGAAAAAGTAACTACCATCTGATTGCCATGATCATTACTGTAACTGWTTATGCGAAAAAGCCAAGACAAGGAAAATTGCTTTTAAGAAAATGATGAAAAGATTCTGAAGAACACGATGGCGAAAAACTTTGACTAAGAAAGAGAAGGTCTTAGAAGGAAGAAATAACAACATAAGAGAGGAAGAACTAGAAGGACAGTAGAATTGAATAAATAGAAAAAGAATGAGCTGTTCAGTTGGTCAAAAGAAACATGTCACGAAACTCTCTTTGAAACTATGAAACTTTGAAACTCTTTGACAGTGGGACTTAAAAAATCAAGGAATCTTTCTGAATTGAAACGAAGAAATATTTCCCAAAAAATTCAAAATTTTTCATGGGAGGCATAAATTGGTGWACGTTAAATTCAAGTTCATTTGGCGACAGAAGGCAGCAATTAGACATCTCCATGACAACGTCATAACAAACATTTAGTTTCAATTTGTGTATAATTACAAGTCTTCATATTCCAATCATATCGCTGGCCATTGACATGATTCTTTATCCCTCAATATCTCAATCATTACCAACACATTTAGCCATTTACAAGATATATTATACTTAGATATTCTGATGCAAAAAACTTCTCATCTTCTTTTATTCAATTCCTGAATGAAAACCCGCCACAAATTACATATATGTTTACAGGATATATATTTTTCAGTATGAAGTCGACGAACGAAACGACTTCAGATTAGCTATCACCTGGACGTTTTAGTTAAGCTATGGTTACTGCAATTGAGTAAACGTCAACAGACAGCGGTTCGTTTAATTTTAGGGAATCTCAATCGTTTCTGTTAGTAAGGGAATTGAGGCGACGTTTCTTTGTCTATATGAGCAAGGTGTTTTGTTATCGCAAGTTAGTGCCTTGAGGTCAGATGTTTTCGATAAGCGAACAAGTTCTTAACGGAACTGAAGATAAATCATTGATCTTTTACAAATATAATTGAGCATTTTTGTATGGAAGTTAAATTTCAATCGAGTATTTCTGCAACTATATTACTAGGGGGAAACTGTATTTAGTTGGTGTAACTGATGATAACACAAACAAATCATTCAGTAATTGCTGTTTATTCATATTCTGCGGCTTTCAAAAGAATTTTCGTTTAAAAAAAGGACAAATCTAGAGAGAGAGAGAGAGAGAGTTTACCCTGCCTTTTGTCCGCACAGGCATGAAAACTTTTGATATCTTTTGATCCATCGATATATCTTCTCTAAGTCGTATTTTAACTGCAATAACGTAACATTTCGAATTTAGAAAATAGCGGAGAAAGGTGTTCTATTTCATTTTTTCAAGTTTCATTTTTTTACACGGCATGAATTAAAAAATCGAAGATTAAAATGCTATGAAAATGAAAACATGGGAAAAATTATATTCCAGAACAAGGGAGAAGATATAGATATGTGTGCGTGTTAAGCTCATTAACAGTTTACATTTCAAAATGAATAAAAAGATGTATACCTTTTCGAAGCAGTCTAAGCCATAGAGGTCGGTCGAGATGTTCGCTCGGATTTTATAGAGATTTTTTTATAGAAGGATTTTGCCGTTGAACAAGGCTGGTCGTATATTCATTAGACTTCATCAAGAAGTTGCATCTAAAAAGACTCGTGAACGGATCGATGGCATGGACCTAGAAAACTGAAGCAGGAAAGTAATTTAACTTTCTCAATTATTGCTGTCAATGTCACATGGGCGTCAAGGAGTAACCATGAGACATCCTCCAGCAGGTGTTTGTATTCGAAAGTAATTTAGGTGAAAATAGAACACAAATTACTTTATAGATGTGAAATACGAGAAAGGGTATTTCATGACTTCTTGACAAGTAGAATAACGAGATACAGTTTTTGAGAATAGCATTGCAAGAAATCGATAAATCGATAAATCTTGACGCTGTATCGGCTTAAGTTCTTAATTGTCTCTTTAACGTTATGAAACGTTTTACCATGACTTGTCCGACTTTACTTTTGTAAATATATATTGACTTATACCTGAATAATGAATTCGGAATTTCAAGTTTCTACCTTAAGTTTGGTCTCAGGAATTAAATATATGGCTTTTCTCGCAACTCAAAAATACGAATATAAAGGTTTTTTTTGAAAAGCATTTGCATGGGAAAATATGAGATTAAAAAGGCATTATTTGTTTGATGCGTTGCTGTGTTTTGTGGAAATTACCTTGAAAGAGCTAAGCATAAACGAGGGATTACTTTGAACACAGCGCAGTATGCCACTCTTTATCTATGATATATCGAGTCTCTCCTTCAGCCGCACTGCACGTATTATGAGCTATAAGACATAACATAAAACAGTAGGAAAGGAAGAYCAAACCAAAGAAAGAAAACATCGTTTAGCTGACGGCACTTTTTCTTGACCGTGTGTGTTTTCCGTACATACGATTTATTTTTCGATTCATTTGTAGATTTATTACTTGTAACGCTTCGTTTTCTGTCATTTTGCATTGTCTTTGAAACTGGGTTTTATCTTATTGCCAAAGCAGTTCGGAACATTATGAAAGAAGGTGATTTGGAAAATTGAGGGAATATGTATGAAGCAAGAAAGTAGGTTTAATAATGAAGTACAGTAAAGTGAGTTTTGGTTAATTTTATCTAAAAAACTTTCTAAACGTTATGAAAGAAAAACAATTTTCTAGAAAATATTAAGAAAGATTAATAGAAAATCAAAACTTTTTTTGATACTGAAATTACGGGTATTTAAGCATTGAGTGGTATTAACCATGTAACGATGTAGGGATATCCATTTATACAACGATAAATATTGTAAATGTTTTAAACTCACTCGACAAAAATATACCAGTAAAAGCGTCAAAACCCTTTTTTTTTTACAGGAAATTGAACCGAATATTGCAAAGGTAGATTATATTTCGTTAGAAAATTATAAGAAAACTGTTTGAAAACTATAAAAATTTGATAATATTTCTTTTGAGGAAAGTGAAAATGCTATAACGATGACTATACGATGTCATGCAAATAAACAAGGCATCTTCGAGCTCCGATTTTGGAAATAGAGTTTAATCTCCTTAAGTCTAATTAGAGTTATAGATATACTAAAGACCGAGGAAATTATCTTCGAAACGATAAAAAATGAAAACTATCTTGATATCTAACCGATGGTAAACTGACAGTCGTGGTTTACTGTTCAAACTTATGTCAATAATACTTTTCAAATTAATTTTTTTTTAATTTTTAAATTTTTTTTWAAAAGCATTCAAAATTCCTTATTTTCCACTACGAAATGATTTGAATTTTGTCCCGAAATAACAAGTTTCTGATCGGTACTTAGATTTTGCCCTTTGAATATTATATTCAGTATCTTGCACTGAATACACAGAAAGAACACTTGAACAAATATCGAAAATTCAGAGTCGATCCATTTTATAATTTATAATTTAACTTGAAGATGTCTATCGAAATTGGATCAGAATTTTGTAATGTATTTTTAATCCCTAGGCGAAAATATACCATATGGGGTGGCTTTGAAGTTGTTCCTTAACGATTTCTAGTGCTTCATGTTTCTAATTATGGCAAATATTAGAGCTACTTTAGAAGGAAACGACAAGATTTTTAATTTCTTGGAAATTAAAAGCGAAATAAGAGGCAAGATGATTGTAGTTTACCTGATTTTTGGTCGACTCTCCTTCAAGGAGCGAAGACTTAAAGAGAACCAACTTGGTTTAAATTCACTCGATCGAAGATCCGTCTGGGTAAAAATATAAAATATACACGATGTTTTTATAGTAGTGTCAGGTGCTGGGAGAGTAAGTAAATATCACGTGGTATGATTGTACTTGCATTTGAAATGATACAGTCTGATATCGATTGTGATATTGATTATGAAGTAAAGATTATTTTTTATAAAGTCTCTGATGGATAGTTGCCAAGTTTGACCTCGAACTGCTCACTTTTTCATCTAGAAGTCTGTTGAAAGCTTTTTCTCAGTACAGACAGAACGTTATTATTTTCTCTGCCTACGTGTAATTATCAATCATTTGTCGATCACCTGTCGATAAAATGCAAAATATTTGAAGTACTTTGACTTCTTAGTGCAATTTATTAACTCCTACACAAAACAGTAACAGCGACGGAAAAATATCCTTCTGTGAAGGCTCTGTCGGGTCTGAAAAAGTGAAAGTTTTTTTTTTTTGTTTTCCTTATTCTTTCATCGTCTTTTGTCTTTATTTTTCATTAATCACTCCTATAATGCAGCAAATCCTGATGTATCACGCAGTTACTTCCATGAGCCGCAACATTAAATTTCAAAACTGCTTGCAACGCGATTAGGATGACATATGACACCAATAGGATGACTTTACCAGTGACACCATTAGGATGACATTGCCTGTGACACCATTAGGATGACATTGCCTGTGACACCATTAGGATGACATTGCCTGTGACACCATTAGGATG